GTCTCCTACATGAACATTGCACTGGCGACATACCCGTCCACTTCCCTAACCTCCACACCCTTACTTTTCGCCTCGCCACATATAGGGCACACTACTTCCTGCACTGAAACTGAACATTGGGATTGTTCAGGGTGTAAATCGTGCGATACAGAATCATCCAATACGAATGGAACATCTAGGACAGTGGGATACTACATGAATACATAATTCAGCCCTAGAAAACACACCAGTAAAACACCCATAAATAATGACTTTTGATAGAACGAAACCACTCACAGTCAAGTGACTTGCATCAATTTGTGTGATGTGTCAGAGATTTCAAGGAAATGAAACAGAGAACCTGCAAACCAACAGCGCAAAGTGACCATTAAGATGAGGGATTCATCTTTTTAACCAGCCTGTTCTGGACTCAAACCCGACTGGGCTTAATCTTTGGGCCCGCTGGCACTCATCAAGAGTGTCTCGACAAATTCTGGCAAAAAAACTTGAAACGGATGTCATCAAGCCCACATTTGTCGAGATCAAATCAATTCCAGAGAAACTAGGTTCAAAGGTTTGGAGGGACCTCAGTAATTACATAACAGGCTGAATTTGAACCAACACCAAAAGGCACACTGTGTTCTACTTAATAGTAAAACCACCACTCTACATCTCTGACAATATACTATTGAGAGCAACGTACCCACTTACTATGTGTAATGTTTGAAAACAACAACACACGAACTGTTTTTGCTTAATTTTCTCGTCTGTCTCATTTCTGTTGATTTCAATTATGATCACTATGATCATTCTGGGTTCATGCAGTTAAAACAGTCCTATTAAGGCATAAGAAATATACTCAATAAACAAATATCTGTATATAATCGGAGTAGTATTGATCACTCGCATTTGAACGGCAAGGACACAGTCCGTGTGGAGAGGTGGAACGCATTGGCCAAGATGCAATCTCAGATGCAATCCCATTGACTATCGTCTGACAACCAGTTAGCTATATATTAGCTTTTTAAAAAATGTATCCGCTTCATATCTGCTTATAGAGATTATCTACAGTAAAATGACCGGCGCACGAAAAAAGGAGATCTAGGCTTAGATATCCACTGGCTACAGCAGATCAGTCACAGACCTCAAGGAAATGCACCAGGCTTTGAAGCCAATTTTCCTAGTGGCCAAAGGGTGGAATTACAACTTCCGGGTCTATCACATGATGCCATTAGGACCAAAAATCTTTTTCCCATAGACTTACATTGTGAAAGAGACGTTCTTAAAACAGCGGATAAGAGTCACAACCCCCACAATATGACTCGTTTCTTGATCCATTTGGTCCGAGAACATTTCCAAAGAGCCACACAACTGAATAACTTCTATTCCTATACAGGTTAGCGCTGGGCTAAACCATAATTTAGCCGCTCAGTTTGTGAAAGTCTATATTGTGCTTGCTCTACAGGCCCAACGAAGCAGAAGATCCAGGTAATTTTAGATCCAGGAAGTTGAACTTATTTGGATTTATGCACCTCTGAACAACTTTAATAGGAATGAAAGAGGCCTGCCTCCACCGTTGTATCCAGCTCTCTTAATACACCCATGATCAGCCCAAAATGGTAGCCCTTGCCTCCAGAGGCTTACGGTCATCAGACCGTTAACTGGTGGCTTCTGATACTGCATAAGAAATAGCCAGATAAAATTCCCTAAATATCAAACTTTGTCTCACTCAAGAGTTCTGTTATCAGTCTTGTGAAACAGAAAAAGACCGGCAGGAGTTGCATAAGCGAGCCTGGAGTCCAGCTGTCGTCTCCTCCTCCTACTCACATTCCCATCATCCAGTTGTCTCAGACTCACTTGGGGGAAGAGATCACTCATCGAGACAGAGCGCCAGTGAACTCTGGTCAGTGCAAGAGGGCGGTGGTGGTGTGTGTATATTGGGTTGAAGTGCAAAGAGTATAATGTTGTCACACAGAGCTATAACAGCAGCAATATTAAAATAGTTGCAGTTATTAAAAGACAAAGTCATCGAATGTGTTTAAGTGGATTTGTATGGAATCTTTTGTTAGATGTGGACTGAACAACGTTGACAATGAGATACATTTTTACTGCTTCATAGCACAAAGTATCCATACATTTAGTGTAATGTAAGTGTATGAGGTTCAGGGAGGTTTACCCTGCAGCAGTTTCTCTGTGTTGAAATTCAAGTTCTCACCAACAGAAATTTCAATATTCTCCGAATTGCAACACCTTTTGCTCTTAAAACTACAGACCACCATAGATCAAGGGAATGAATGAGCAACTTCTGTCAGTGTTGCTGCAGTTTCTGTAGTCACCAGATTCCTAACAGACCCTTAAAGTTTCCTTTAAAGGTTTGTTGGTTGTTCTAGTGGGAATGTCTGGTTCATGTCAGCCATAACGGGCAGACAGGCAGGCCGGTAGAACAGCATGAAGAAAATGTAGATGTTCATATGAGCTCAATGGAAAAAGTAGAATCTGCTCCCTAACCACCTCCAACACTGAAAGCATGTGAAAGCAGCTTTTTAGGCAACACACAGTGTGACCTTGAACTGTTTAGATTGTAGACAACCAAAAACGGTTTCAATACAGTCCGAGTCTTACTGCCGAACAGTGGCGCCAACAACACGTGGTTACAATCACAGCAGAACACCACCAGGTCACACACACAAACACACACTCACACATGAATTTTTTCTAAGTGACCTTTTCCTTTACTCTGATCCCCCAATGTGCTGTCAATAACCTCCTCATGTCTTAAAAAGCTTTTCATGGGAGTGAATGCAGCCTACACCACTATTATTGACTGCACTGTGCCACAGGAGCAAACAAAGTAGTGATACTTTATTACAATACTACAGCATTTTTTGGGAATACCTGTACTTTACATGAGTATTTATACTCCTGCCAACTTTCACTTTTACTTCACTACATTTCCTAAATAAAATGTATACCTTTACTCTAATTCATTCCCTGTATGCATCGTCATTACTTTCTCAAGTAAAGCCTTCAGATACTTCATCCACCACTGCACGAGAGGCATTACATAATGTCTTGTAAATGCTTTACTCAACAGTATGCTCAATTAAAGGATGAATTACTTTTTCAGAGCAACTTTCATTTATAACTGACGCACCACAGTTCTCTCCCCATATTTATGGTTACTGAGAGCATGCTGCAACTGCAAACTGAAATCAACTTTCACACTGGGCAGTAACCAGCACAACCACAGAGAATATTGCCACCACATTGGTGCCTGCTGTCAAGGAGGTTTATATCACTTGTATTCCCACAGTGGTGTCTTTTGACCACAGTTGCTTTAGGGACTGTTCATTACTTATGTGTGGGGGTTGGTAGGTCAAATATTTTTTTAAGCACTGGGGAGGGACTTATATTTTTTATTTTGGCTTAGACAACCTGGTCTCACTCTGAAGTCATCAAAATCCGGTGCTTGGGCAGTGACTTGCAGCATCAGACAGAGATGAACAAAGTCATCCTTCCATGACGGCATGATACGTGGCCAGTCACCATTATAGTAAAACGGCACTCTGCGGCATCAGGGGGAAACATAGCAGGACAAGAATGAAAGTTAAGCCATCTGAAGTCTGAGTGTGGTGGGTGGGAGGGGTAGTGGATGGGTCCAACAAATACGGACTTTCACCCAGGAGGAGGGTGTTTGTGTCCTGTAAAATTGTAAAACCAAACCCTATTAATTTTTTCCTAAAACCTAACCATGTGCTTTTGTTGTTGAAGATAAAAAACATCAATTCCCGGTGTTGTACCGAAATAGTGCGTTTATTTTGAAAGAGACTGTATGTTAACGGTAATTTTCCTGTGAAAATGTCAGTGTATTTTGAAAGAAGACAATGCATGTAACAGGCAGAACTTAACACACTGTCCCAGAACATAAAATGCACCCAGGGTACCATGCACGTCGTATCCGGACGTGGAAAGTCCATGACCAAACGTCGATATGTGACAAGGTCGTGGGAATGTGTTGGCTTAGAGGGTACAAATTTAAGTGGTTGTATTTTGTATTTATTTTACTGCAGATTTCTTTAAAAATCTCCAAAGTTACACCATTTACCAAGCAATCTAAATTCATCACATGGAAATTATACAAGGTACAACTCCAGTGAAATGTTATTTGATTAGCTCCTTTCACTTGTGCACTGTAATTTAGTTCTTTCTTTTTTTTGGGTCTTCTTACATCATTGGCTGCTGCTTTATAATCATCACAGCCACAAACTGTAGAAACAGAAAATATTGTTATATTTTCAGATTTACGACGGTCCTTGGACACATCATGTGCCACACATCATCTCAGATTTGGCCAAAAATAAACCATTTGCACCAAACAGCATACACAACAAGTGAAAAGGCAAGAATTTTGGCAAGTTCAGGATTTTGTCTTTAACTTTCAAATACAAAAGGGTAAGCTTTAAAAATCCAATGACTTATTTGGGAGGTTCATGCATTTTCTGCCAGTCACTCAGGAAAGCTCATGGAAAAAATATTTGGCGCTCCAGAGAGGGTCAAAAAAGAAAAAGTCAACCCCCAGCCCCCCCTCTCCTCTGACAAGTAAAGAACAGTCCCTTAATTTGAGGTTCCCCCTCTCCCCAGGAAACGACATATCATGTTACCTGCTAGCTGACGTTAGTCCACATAACGTACGTTAAAGTACAGTTAGCGAAACGCCAATTCTGTTGTAAATAAACAGCATAAAAGAAGGTAACTGAATTTATTTTACACATACAGCAAGATAACATGCCAGTCACTAGTTCAATTCCCTGCCACCAACTGTTTGTGTCCATGTGCAGACACCATGAACTTTAATTCACCGACTCACACTGAAGGACACGCACCTTTCTTTTAAACAATACCTGTTTACATTTACGAATTTAAAATAATTTCCGTTACATACTGAATTTTGAGGCAGTTTAAGGGAAACTTCCCGTCATGTGAGGCCTGAGGTGGAGGTGTGTAGCCCCGCCATCACTCACCTGTCCTGAAGCGGAGGTCCTCGTCGTGCTCGGAGCCGAACTCCCGGAGGAGGGAGAGGAAGAGGATCCCGAAGGCGTTCTGGATCCCAAACACGGAACCGTTACACCACATGGCGGCCAGCATGACCAGCCAGCCCCAGCCTCCCTCCGGGTGCACAAACTCGACCTCCTCCGCGGTTTGTCCCGGTATGGTCACTTTGCTGTCCCCGTTCTTCTCCTTCTTCTCCTCCTCCGCCTCCTCCTGCCGCTTCTCCTCTGCTGGCACCCCGGTGGGCACGGCATCCTTACCGGCTGTGTCCCCCTCTGGCATGTTGGTCCCTTCTGTCATTGTTTAATGTCAAGTTGCAAAGAAACAGCTGCTGTTAAAAATAACTGAGGGTATGTGCTGCCTTCAAAGACTGGGCTTAGAAATATGGAAATTCAGAGTGTGTCTGTGCAGTGACGTGTTTCAGGTTAAAGTAAAGTTGCATCCATTGATAAAGCTGTAGTAATGGTGGCTCTGCGGCATCTGCTCCTACATTAGCTGTCAAAAAGCGGCTGTTGCAGTGTTATAAATAGACAGCGCGCAGGGGCGGGGCTCCGGGGAATCCTGCAGCTGATTGGACACCGTCATTCAACCATGACGACCAAGGATTGAAATGCTAAACGGAATATTGCTTCAGTGCAGATGTTTTGCAGGACCTGTAACATAAAACTAACGTATATATGGAGAGCCTGGCGTTTCCCCTACACTGCAGCTCCCTCACTGCTCTCACTTCCCCTTTCCAGCTGCTAAAAACAGACACACTGCAAGGCAAGTAGATGGGCACATGCAGGAGGATGTGTGCAGGGAGCAGAACATTACAGAGTAAGTAGATGTGAGTGAGGTGTGGTTTGAGATCACAAGACAAAGAGAGCAGGGACGTGACAAAACTGTATGATCTCCCCTGAAACAAACACATTTTATAATCACAATATAATCACTTTAAGTAACTAGAAAGATTGACACAAACTGATTTTAAAGGGGAAATCATTTTGTAAAACTATGTTGCTTTCTTTAATAGCTTAATAAATAGTCCTAACTAGTGCACTACATCCAAACTAGTACACAGCCTGACCCTAGACAGTACAAATGAGGAGTGCAGGGGATTTCTGTTGTGAATGAAGAACACGTGATGACCCAGACGGTCAACTGATATTGCTTCAGATTAAAGTCAGTAAATTGGATTGAACTGAAAAAAAAATGACATTACCAAATTTGTGTAATCCTGCTGCTAATGTTGTTGCAGTTTTTTGCAGGTAAAGCAATAAACTAATAGATCCCCTACTGAGGATTACTTGTGTGTTCAGCTGTTAAACAGCAAGCCCTTGTGGTGTTACAGTGTAATGAATGAGATCTGATGGAAAAGACGACTTTGTTTTTGATGTAGGTAGCTTTTATGTCCCCAGACATGTTGCGATATTTATATGATTTCTTTTAAATCATTTTTATGACACAAAACTGGACTTTAATTAAGAGTTCCCTAAAGTTCAAGTGTGGTGTTCCTGAAATTACAGTTTTAATTATTAAGCCTCGACATGATGAGCACGGCCCCTTTCTACTAATCCCAAATCCCAAAAATGCTCTTAACAGATTGAGTCCACAAAATAATTATTTCTAAAATAGCACCTATCTGTAATCTGATCTCTTCCCTGTGGAATCAAAGGAACTATTTGCAGTGATTTTTCAACCTACAATTATTGCACATTACTAATGCATAACAGTGAATCTTTGTCTTATTCTGCTTATTGTAGAGAAAAATTGGTTTGACTGGATATCTGAGTAAACCTGTGTCTGTTAACCAAAACTGGTAGGTTTCATGCTGTTTGGCAAAACAAAAATGAGGGCAAAGAAAGTCTGACTTTATGACGTGAACACAGGCAAAATCAAAAGTAGGGCTGACCTGACCCGGATGCTTTGAAGCTTCAATCATTGCCGTGGTAATTGAGATCCAAATCCATATTCAAATACTTTGATTTTGGTTTTGTTGATCACCTCCACAGGAGTGCACTGAATGAAAGGAGGTGGCAGGTGTCAGACACGAATAAGGCCAGTATTCTTAGCACAGAATATTCTTGGCAGTCTGGCAAGAAAAAGGAGAAGGTGAGACAAATTGTGGACAGTTATCCATCGCTGCCAACTGTAGTGAAGCACTTGCTTTTGCATCTAGTGATGAGGCCTGTGGCATTCAACGTAATGAATAGCTTACAGAAACATTGCTTGCAATAGTCCACCTTCCACCTTCTCTTCCCCCTCTTTTTCATTCTCTCTCACACATACATGCAGTGGAGCTAAGTCCCACTAATGTTGGCTCGGGTGTGTGTGGTTAATTAGCCTTTAGACCCCGTCACATCCAACAGAAACTCAAATATTCAAGAAAAATTATCACTGAAGTTTCAAAGCCTGTAAAATGGTAACCAGGACAGCCCAAATCATAAGTCAGATGGGTAACGGATACAGCAAACACAAGACATAGATCAGAGACAGTTTTATTTCCTTTAAAGTCAGTGCTGCTTGTGAAATTCAATTTTTACACACATCAACTTGAAGAAGAAATTCAGCTAATTGCAGGCAAACTTCCCCCCACTCAAACTGCCGACAGGTGACATTTGTTTCAGATGCTTGTATGCTTTTTACCAGAGAACTGAGGGAACACACTCATGATGCTCAAGACTTTTCGGAAGTCACATTAAAAAGTGGACAAGAATAAAGAGGCAGGAATAACAGATCTGTGTCCTCTTTGCCCTCGCAGTAAAATGTGGCAATGATGAGCACGTGCTCAGTCTTTGAAATAAAGTGACTGCACCACAGTGATGGACACTGACAGGTACAGGACATTCTTCTGTATGTACAGCTGGTGAGAGTGACCTCAGCTCTCCACTTTAGCCACTTTGGGTGCCTGTCCATCCTGGTCTTCAGCGACCACCTCTCCCTTCCTCTTCCTCAGGCCCTTCATCTTACGTGTTTGCAGCTTGGACAGATCCTGCTTCTGCATGTGCACGCGGCCGAACTTGGTGCCAAAGACATCATGGGAGATGTTCTTCTTCTTCTTGGGCTGTAACGGCAATAAAGAAAAGTTTGTGAAACAGTCAATTTGTACCACTCATAAACAAACTGTACCACAGGTCACACTTTCCCACACTGGCGCCTCTCCCCAAAACACCCACCATCATACCCTACATAATTGCAGCCTTTGGGTAGTGGTTGTCATATTTTTAGTTTTTGGATGCAGTGGTTTGTGTGGGACTGGCATTCTCTTACATTGCCAGATTCATGTTTCCAAAGCAATATTAGCTGTGTGTCTCGGCAAGTGACGATGATGGTCATTTCATTAGTCAGTCGGTCCATCAGACATCCATCATGCTGTTTACTGGGTGTACTTTTAAATAGCTTAACAGTTGGTCAGATTATCATATTGCACACTGTCTGACAGTATATACTCTATCAGCATATCAAGTATAAAGTTAGTAAAACAGTGCACAATAAGAACAATTTCTGTAAATGTGCCACTTTAGCCATGCTGGCTAATTTTAACTGCAGCTCCTGAGCAGGTGTTAACGACAGCTTATATTCAATATTTCCATAAATGAAAATATTCTGGGTTTTGTTCCCAAAATACTTTACCAACACTCAGATATGCACATATCTGTAAAGCTTCAGATATCTTCTATAAGTAAAAAAAAGAAAACAAACAAAAAAGTTCTGTGGTTTAAACACTTGGGCTGCAAAGCAGCCTGTATAGTGAGGTTCAGGGGGGTGTAAGGGGTTAAATGCGTAGAGCTCATACTGGTTACAGTTGGACCGAGTGTGAAATGTTCTAAAATGGTAACTGCAGAGGTAAAACCTTTACATTTAGGCAACAATATGGTCTTTACTCTGGCGCCATCCTCAGGACAAACTTTGCATTTTCATTAAATGATGACCAACATCAAATAACTATGTCTATACAATATTCATACATCCGTCCTTTTTTATGTGTAATGAGCTGCACAGTCTCATGAGGCAAATAATGTAGCTAGAAAAGACTTTGTTCATATGCATAGATAAATTACCATAGCGGAAAGAAAGCCCTTGTTCAGATCAGGTATCCAACATTTTCCCACCTCCTATTTTTATTTCATTCCCATTTCTCAGACCTGGCAAGTGGTCAGAGATCTCCTTATCCAAAGTCATGTATTACTTACCCCTATACAATGTTTTATCTATTAGTGGTCACCAAAGACTAAAGTTATTTGTCATGAAAAAAGACAAAGTTTTATCCACCTTGCTCTCAAACTGTGCTCACATTGTTGGAGTTTCGCCCACGTCCTCTAACGCCACCCAACTACACTCCTGTTTCCATGGTAACTTAAACACTTGCTTGTGTTCCTCCTTATAAACTTTGTCTTTACCTGCTGCCATTTTCTCGCAAATGCCTGATCAGTACTGAGCATGTGCAACTCTCAACAGAGATGAGAAGGAAGCAAGATGGCTCCAGAAAAAACATGTTTTACCACTTGCCTGATTGGAGAAGTAGTTTCCAGCTAATAAATCTAGTAACTACATTTACTAGAATGAATAACACTTTACTTGCCCTGGACAATCTGGCAACCCTTATTGTTGAGCCCTGCCATCAAAGAGAAGCAGGGAGAGTAAAGTTGTTAAGAAAGGGAGAGAAAAGTTGTTGAGAAAAGTTGTTAAGAAAAGTTGTTCAGGAATTCTATCCAAGAGATTTTTACCTTCAGAGCTTTGGGCTGTCTGTGAGCTAACTTGTACAAGTCATCTGAAGCCAGATGTGTTCTTCTTAGGACCAAGTCAAATGACGGCCCGATCTCTTCAAGCTCTATCCGTGGCGTGCGGCACCCAGACTTCTTCAACAGACACCTGCAAAGACACATGAATATCTGTGTTGTGAAGGATGTAATGTGTGGTTGGTGTACACCAAAATTTGAATTCTTTCAAAAGGATCTAAAAGCAGGGATCAAACATGATTTGGTCCTGGCTCAGCTGACAGGTACATTCTCTATTATTTGTGATTTCTTCTTCACCCAAAACACAACTTTGTTACTCTGACCAGATGCAAAGTTTTCCTGGTCAAATCTTAACCAAATCTCATGTACCTGTAGCTGCGCATGTAGATTTTCCCATCCAGGGCTGTGAAGTGCAGAACATGTTCTAAACCTGCCAGACGCACCGCAGACACTGTGGGGCCTCTGAAGAAGTCTGAAAGGTGGATCAAAGAAATGGACAAGGACTAATATTAGTACATATAAATAAATAAATACACTATTTCCACCTAAATGAAATCTCGAGACACATTGACTGAGTATGATTGGTGTATACCTGTGAGCAGACTCTTCAGACGTTTGTGTTCATTGTCCGTATCAAAAGCCTCCCCTGCAAACACCAGCATTGGTTTGGTCCCCTCAGGACATTTGCTGGTCTGCAACAGAAAAACACAAAACTAGATTTTAGGAGCCTGTGTGATATAACCAGCTTTCTCTCAATCATTGGAAGACCTGACAGAAATATGATATTGCTCAAGTGTACAAAAACAAAAAGAAAAGGCTGACGTTCATTGCTTTACAAAGTATCAATAAAGTCACCGTCATACTTTGTTTTCTGGTAAACAGCTGCACGTTAAGGCCACACCCCACAGACACTGCTCAGTGAAAAACTATTTTAAACAAATTTACACAAAGGATGAATGTGGTTTTATCTGGTCAGACTGGTTTGGTTGCCATGGTAATACTGTAGTTCAGTTGGCCATGTTTGTTTACTGTATCTGAACTTGAGGTTTTAGTTTCTGATCGATCTATGGTCAAATAAACTGTGTTTGTGTGGTCTATTCTATTCAAATAAATAACCGTTCTTGAAAATCAAGATAACAAAACATATTCTACAAAAAAATAAAACCTTTACCATAACTTATCACCACACTAATTCTATGGGGTGAAGGATTTATATTCATGAAATAACTATGATTTATAAAATATTTGGATCTGCTTTAACTTTTGTTACTTCTAAACTTGTCCTGTGGCAGAAAACAGCCCTGTCCCAGACAAGAATTCACAACTCCAAACAATTACAAAATTGTAAAAGGTTTCCAAATGTAAAACTAACTGTATTGACAATGTTGGTGTAAAAATGTACTGCTATAACCATCTTTGTTTTCATTTTTTTGTGTGTTTGAAAATGTTGGCCTTTTAGGTGTGCCCAGATTTTTGTCAACTGTCAGATTTCTACAAAAACATCATTTAATCAGGCATAAAAATGAGTCAGCTATAACCTAAGGAGTCCTGTCTCACTTCCTGGTTTCCAAAAAGGCATGGTTTCTGCTGTAGTGCTGGTCAGTTTTCTATTTCTTTTTTAAGTCATTAAATAATATTGCTATCTGGTGTGTCTCAACCATAACAGGTCAGCTCCATAGCCCTTACAAGTCAAAACTAAATAAGAAGCATGGTTAAAAAAATTAATATGTTAATTAACATTGAGAACTCTTAGCAACTGGTGTAATATTAATAAATATATAACATTTTGTCAATTCGTAAGACGTCAACTCTGTCAGATCTTACCTCTGACATCTATCTAGTATGTTGGCCCTTTACAAAGTTTAATAGTCAGACTTTGATTTTTCACAATGTATTTTCCCAGCCTCATTGAAGAGTAAAAATGATGATTTCTTTAAGCATTTCCTGCCTGAACAGAAACAGTGAAGCCTGCGGTCACACACACTGCAAGTTCACATTTTGTCAGTATCTTAGCAGAGCCTCAGAGTGTGACCACTGTACAGAACCTTAAACCAAACTCTATTCACACTGACAACATCTAGCGATCCACTTTACAGCCACAGACACTGCACACAAGGTCCCAACATGTAACTCACACTAAAACCACATTGTATTTGTTGTACTGATTTAACAAATGAGCTCTGTGGTAATTAGTGAGCATGGAGATTTTGGTAGACATATTTTTACCTGTGGACGGAGCCAAGCTAGCCATTTCCCCCGTGTCCTGTCTTTATGCTAAGCTAACCGTGGTCTGACTCCAGCTCAATATGTTACTCACAGACATGAGACTGTTATCAATCTCAAGCCAATCTCAGAACCCAGCGGCTATCGATCTGACAGCGCTTAGCCTCTGGGAGCAACAGCCAATACTTTGGGGGTTCTGCTGTAGCCAGCAGACAGTTGGGCTGAGACTTCCTCTTCTACGAGTCGCTCATTTTGGCTAATTTCTATAAACAGATCTGTGCATATGAATGCGGGTAAGTTAAAAAGAAAAAGAGCTAATAAAAAGCTGAATCTTTAAGACAATAGACAATGGGTTTCGAGACTGCATTTTGGCTAACGCTCTTTGCTTCTCTTGCTCTCCACTTGAACTGTTTATCTGCCACTAAAACGTGACTGGTCAATACTAATCAGACTGCAAACAGAAACCAGGATGCTTCTGATAACAAACTCTTGTCTACAGCTTCTGCATACACAAGCAGATATCTATGATTCATCTCAGGTAAATAAGTGTATTTCCCAAAACAGTGCACTGTTCCTTTAAAGAGAAAAAATATGGGTAGAAAAACACTTTCTGATTGGCTGGCAGGCATCTTCTGAAGCTTTATGCTAAGACGCCTCAACCATGATTCAACAATTAACAGTTTAACCAGCACTTTATATCAGTGCTCAACATCACACTGCAGGTAACCATAGCAACAATACAGATGCTTCTTGCTGCTTAAACTGACTACATTTTTTAAAAAAAAAAAGGATGGCAATTTATATATGACACAAATTTTGGGCTGACACTAAACCCCAGTTTGACTAAAGAGTGAAAATCGAATTGTCCTTTCGAGAAAACACAGATGTTAGCTAAACAACGGCAACTATTACCTTGATGTCACTCAGAGAGACGTACTTCTCTACTCCAAGTTCAATCATATCCAGCACATGGAAGTCAAAAAGACGACCTGCAACAAACCAAAGGAAAAATAACACACGCCATCATGTACTTTTGGAAAGAAAACATCATTAGTTAGTAGATAAAAGTTTTTTTCTTCCTGATGTAACCTTTTCATACATTAAATATTTTATTGAAAATAATCTTCTTTATATTGTATTAGGAATATGTATGGAAATTACACACTAACTGACCACTTAATGCAAGTTAAAAACTGAGTGAGTGATACAGAGAAAAGATAATTTACCAAATATGAGGTTGTTGGGACGTTTCTTGTTGTGAGAGCCAAACAGAAACAGAGAGCAGTCTGTCTTCTTGGAGAAAAATTCCTGATAAAGAGTTTAAATGATTAGCAATAAAACATGTTAAAGAGATGTAACTGTAATAAAGCATTTGGGATGTGCCCTATTTCTTGTTTACTTACCAGTGATGTGGAGTCCTCAAACGGCCGCGCTATGTTCTTCCTGACAAGCAAATACAGATGTTACACACAGCAGTCAGTTCAACATGTTATCTAACACTCATAGATAATTAACTGCATTAACTTCAGCAGTTTTGACTTAACTCTAAAGACACTTAAGTGGATTTAACTTCCATTCAAATCCAACTTTGATTTGATATCTAATTTACAGCTTATGCATGGTTGATTGGTGTGCACTGCTGTAGGTCACAATATAATCCAATTCTTTTTCAGCATTGAAGACACTGTTATTGGTTTACATCTTTAATAGGATTTAAGAAAAAACCATACATCCTGCTGAGGTCAGAAAGGGAAGGGAGTTAAGGAAATTCTCCCTTTTGCTCAGATAAATACTGTTTATTTTGATGTCTATCTATTCTGAGTGTTTCATTCTCAGTGGAAAATAGCACATGAAATATTGACTCTCAGCTAGTGAAGTTAAATCTTAAGTGGCAAAAAATATAAAATTAGTACTGAAAAATAGCATTCAAATGGTTTACAAATCAACTGATTAATAATTTGGAAAAAACAAAGTAATTTCACTTACTTCTTGTACAGCACAGCATTTGGCTTCTTCAGGGAATACTGGAGAAAAAAATATTTTTTGTTTGAATTTACAATTTTGCTCGTGTGTCAGCTGTTTTCATTAAAGCTCAATCACAAATATGGTTAAATTACTATGACAATCTATCGAAAAACTGAACAGGTGTCTTGTCTTAGACTCTTAATCAACATTCGGAGAGTCAAATTCTATTTCACGACTAGGGTTTCTTTGGTGTAGTCTTATATGTGTGACAATATTTTAATAAACATAATATTAATCACTTTCATTGTAGATATTATGGACAGGAGTCATTGCTGCAAAAAAAAGTCTTTTCATCAAGAAAAGGGGCAGAGAAAAGTATTTAATAGGTTCTTTCTGTCTCTGTGACTTTTTGATATACAGTACAGGCCAAAAGTTTGGACACACCTTCTCTTTCAATGCTTTTTCTTTATTTTCATGACTATTTACATTGTAGATTCTCACTGAAGGCATCAAAACTATGAATGAACACTTGTGGAGTTATGTACTTAACAAAAAAAGGTGAAATAACTGAAAACATGTTTTATATTCTAGTTTCTTCAAAATAGCCACCCTTTGCTCTGATTACTGCTTTGCACACTCTTGGCATTCTCTCTATGAGCTTCAAGAGGTAGTCACCTGAAATGGTTTTCCAACAGTCTTGAAGGAGTTCCCAGAGGTGTTTAGCACTTGTTGGCCCCTTTGCCTTCACTCTGCGGTCCAGCTCACCCCAAACCATCTCGATTGGGTTCAGGTCCAGTGACTGTGGAGGCCAGGTCATCTGCCGCAGCACTCCATCACTCTCCTTCTTGGTCAAATAGCCCTTACACAGCCTGGAGGTGTGTTTGGGGTCATTGTCCTGTTGAAAAATAAATGATCGTCCAACTAAACGTAAACCGGATGGGATGGCATGTCGCTGCAGGATGCTGTGGTAGCCATGCTGGTTCAGTGTGCCTTCAATTTTGAATAAATCCCCAACAGTGTCACCAGCAAAACACCCCCACACCATCACACCTCCTCCTCCATGCTTCACAGTGGGAACCAGGCATGTGGAATCCATCCGTTCACCTTTTCTGCGTCTCACAAAGACACGGCAGTTGGAACCAAAGATCTCAAATTTGGACTCATCAGACCAAAGTACAGATTTCCACTGGTCTAATGTCCATTCCTTGTGTTTCTTGGCCCAAACAAATCTCTTCTGCTTGTTGCCTCTCCTTAGCAGTGGTTTCCTAGCAGCTATTTGACCATGAAGGCCTGATTTGCGCAGTCTCCTCTTAACAGTTGTTCTAGAGATGGGTCTGCTGCTAGAACTCTGTGTGGCATTCATCTGGTCTCTGATCTGAGCTGCTGTTAACTTGCTATTTCTGAGGCTGGTGACTCGGATGAACTTATCCTCAGAAGCAGAGGTGACTCTTGGTCTTCCTTTCCTGGGTCGGTCCTCATGTGTGCCAGTTTGGTTGTAGCGCTTGATGGTTTTTGCGACTCCACTTGGGGACACATTTAAAGTTTTTGCAATTTTCCGGACTGACTGACCTTCATTTCTTAAAGTAATGATGGCCACTGGTTTTTCTTTAGTTAGCTGATTGGTTCTTGCCATAATATGAATTTTAACAGTTGTCCAATAGGGCTGTCGGCTGTGTATTAACCTGACTTCTGCACAACACAACTGATGGTCCCGACCCCATTGATAAAGCAAGAAATTCCACTAATTAACCCTGATAAGGCACACCTGTGAAGTGGAAACCATTTCAGGTGACTACCTCTTGAAGCTCATGGAGAGAATGCCAAGAGTGTGCAAAGCAGTAATCAGAGCAAAGGGTGGCTATTTTGAAGAAACTAGAATATAAAACATGTTTTCAGTTATTTCACCTTTTTTTGTTAAGTACATAACTCCACATGTGTTCATTCTTAGTTTTGATGCCTTCAGTGAGAATCTACAATGTAAATAGTCATGAAAATAAAGAAAATGCATTGAATGAGAAGGTGTGTCCAAACTTTTGGCCTGTACTGTATTTGACTTCTTGGTTTTGCTAACCATTCACACATATTCACACGATGACACTTGGCTGGTAAGAAGACAGAAGTGACAGGTAGTGCCTGGTGCTGCTTTAAACAAGCATACATTGAACCCATATGTGAGGAACTATATGGATGAACAATTGTCAACTTAAACAGACTCCGAAAGCATTTTCTCTGATACCTAATAATCCATTTATTTCTTGTATGTCACATGCAATGTGACTCTGTGTCTGTATTTATAATCTGCAACAGACATAGCTGAATTATTACACTGTTTGTCTCTTTAATCTCTTCTGCACTGCCTTGCCATGTCGTATATAAGGTGCGGGTGGAAAAGGGGGCCTTTAGGCTGCCACGGGAGGTAGTAACAGCACCAAAATCCTGTCTGTATTAACAGGACAGCTGGCAGGACAGGTGTGACGTTTTGACAACGTGTTATGTGTGCGACCCACTGTGGGAGATTTAAAAAGTAGCTGTTAGCAGCTAACTCAAAGACAAAGAACAGTAGCTGTAAATGTCCGCAAATTGGGAAACAATGACATTCGGGAGCTCCTTATCCTCCAAACAGAGGATGAGATCCGACGCAGGGGCGGTAAATGATTTTTTTTTGCCATATTAATGCTATTGTAAATGTTTATAAAACCCTGCAGATACATGTGTTTTATATCACAATACATGTCACGCTCATCACACCTCTTTTGATTTCATGATGCCTGCATGTGATCTAAAATCACACACCACAGAGGCATAATGCCATCATTGTTTGGTTCTGTGTAAAAATGCAAAAGAGGCATAAAGAATGGAGTTTTTAATCTACATGTTTGCTTGGATTGTTTTTTGTAATTTTGGTAATTTCTTATCAGAATCACATAGGGAATTTTTTTTTAAATAAAGAAGAGTTTAAAAAGAGCCACTAAAAGAATTTAAAAGAACACACAGTGAAGTAAAAGAACACAGTGTGATGTTTTCACGTCGATTATCTTAACATCTGGTGACTGATAAAGAAGACAACTTAACCTTTACAACAATAGCATCTCTGTGAAATAAGTCATGCCTTGAAAGTCTTTCTTATCGAGCACATCATCAGGTTACTTACGATGTCCTTGAGGGCCTGTGTGATGGTTTGACTGGTGTTCCCTCCTTTCATAATCATGGCAGTCTTAACATCCTCAGTCAGCTTGGGCGCTCTGCTCTCCAAGAAGCGCTTGGAGCGCTTTGTCTTGGGTTTTCTGCGGATAGACAAAAGCACGGAGGAAGATGACAAACTGACAGTGCTGTTCACTGCTACACAAAATAAAAAAAAACAGAGCAACGCATGACAGGTTTACTCTGTAATATTGCTGGTGATTACTAGTCAATGTATTATACAAATTGACAATCTCATCAGTTTTATTATGATGAAAGAAAAGGCAAAAAACACCATTAATCCTCCTTTAATGGAGCAAATACCATTGATTTCTATCATTTTCTTAAGTAAACTAAATCAGATAAACCACACATGAATCTGTTTAAAGGACAGCTGTTTTCATTCATCTATAATGAGCACCTGAAAATAAGGATTGTGTTTTTGTTAGGCCATTTCTATCTACATATGAAGCGGGTCCTCTTCCACGGAGCCTGCCATGTTGTTCCTACAGGTGCCCAGAAACAGGTAAACCAAACACTGACTCTAGGCAAGGCCCTTTGCAGTTTTGCGCTGGTCACTGTTGTTCTCCTGCATGCTTGGCACACAGGAGAAATTTCAGTTCTGAAACTTCTTCACTTGATGCCACTAAATCCTATAATCTGGATCTTCAAAAGAGTTTACTGTGCTCGGGATAAACGACACTGTTCTTGAAAGGACTGGGTTACTTATAAGTTGCCCATTTTGAGGAATGTGCATCCTAAATTTGATCATCATACTTATCTAGACTAACAGGAGCATCGCAAAGGGAAACAATATTCCCATGATGTTCCCTCTTTCTCTAATCTAACATAACAATAGATGTATACCCTTTGTTAGGAAATAAAGGGGGAAAAACTGCCACAATATGCTAAAATGTTAACTAGCACTCCAACACAAGAGTCCACCTCACACTGGTTAACCTGTCTATGGTTATACAGTGCAGGATTGCCGTCACTCTTCATATAAGGATATAATATCATGTAAGGTCATCTCTTTCCATAGTCTGTGTTGTAGTCTCTCGGAAATCATCTAAAAACAATTATTCTTTGAACACTTTGCTGTGAGCTATTGTACTTACTATTAAGTAACTAATTTACTTTAAACACAGATTATAATACTTCACTGACATCATGCAGAAACAAACAGCAGTAGACAGTAACAGTAAGACAGTATCACAGTATTCTAAGTATAAATCAAAATAATATCCATCCCTAAGCCATCCACCCCTTGTACTTCAGTCTAACTATCGTTCTGAGTGAAAGTACCCAACTCTAAATAAACAACACATCAGTTTCCTCTCCTTATCGATGTATGTGAACTGAGCTTTCTAACGTTTCTCATACCAGTGAACGTTACATGCTGATGTGACTGACACTGACACACTAACTTGATATTAGGGGGTTTGCACTGAATGCAACTGTTAGCTAGCGAACAATTTAAGTATTGACCAAAAAAAATGTCCAATATTCAATATGTGACAAAATACACCCTAGTCAAATTCGACCCAACAACATAAAAACAAGATTATCTGTCAGTAGATTAAGCTAATGCTAGCTGACAAACGACATGCTAAACTAATGTTTGCGGTCTTAACAAAGTTATTTTCACGAGCACCGGACAAGAAGACACACTGAGAAGCTTAAACACAGTGAGTTCTTTAAAATATATTGTCTTACTTACACTACACCGTCTAACTGCGTCATTTTTCTGTCTTTCTTCGTGTCCCTGCCAGAAACACGAACACTCACGCTGCGGTTCCTCCACGTGAATTAAAGCAGCGGAAGACAACATTGGTGATAGTCTTCTTCGTTGGTGCAACAGCGGTTGACTTCCTGCTACAAGTGAATTACCGCCACCTATCGTCAAAACCTCAAAACTACGCTCCACAGTACAAACAGTCCACCAGGGGAGCTACAGGCTAAAATATCCACGGACTTCGAAGTGCTGACATGTATCTGAACCATAAACTCTCTCTCTCTCTCTCTCTCTATATATATATATATATATAAATATTGTAAATATTATAATTTATATAGTCTATGATCTGAACTTACCAGTAAGCCAATGCTGCCACAGTCTGTTCATGTCCACAGTGGTATGTGTAGGTTGGAGTATGACACAACAAAACAAAGGAGGTTAATTATAAAACACAAGAATTGTAATGTGTGTGTATACTGTGTATTTATACTTGAAATAGAATGCACCATCAACATGGCAGGTTTCAGCTCATTGCTGTTGGTCCAGGATTAAGTGGGTAATAGGGTCATTACTTGAATTTGACTGTATTAATGTAAAGTTAATTCAAATTCATGCTTATCTGACCTCCAGAATGTTAGAAAGACTTGGTTTAAAAAATTGTGTGGCCTGCTGGGAAGGGTAGTACTTTACAAGCACTGTGGATAATAATTCAATATTAGATTGTAGAGGTCACAGGCTTGCAGGTGGTATTCCTTTATATAGTAGAAGAATGTAGGGTATTATATCTTTGTCCACAGTCAGTGATGGATACGTACAGCAGTAATGTTTGGATAGCATTAATCTAAGGAACTGGAATCAGCCCATTATTCAGGTTTGGTGCAGAGTTAGGAAAGGTTGCTGTAAGTGAAAGCATGTATGTAGCAGGACCTGCAACAGGGCAGCAAAATGTTCCCTCAAGTAGATCATGGATATTTCTTTTATAAATGTTTAAGTGAAAGAACAAGGTGGAAACAGTGGTTGCCATGTGGGATTTGTGTGTTTGTCATTTCTCTCAGGCTGTATTGCTTTATTTTGTCTTTCTAAGATAACCACTTTTGTTGGACCCCTGTTGTTTCAGTGTGTCTGAGGAAAACTGTTGCAGGAAGTGCACATTAGTGTTGTTTATCAAGACTGCAAATTTCATTCAAAGCAGCTGCTCTTAGAGACTCAGAGAGAGAGATCAATACACTCTCTGTCCACCAGGTGGCAGCTTGTACATGGAGGGATGTTAGGACAGAGCTGCTGTGAAGGAAACTCAGGGACAATGTAGTAGTAAGGTGAAGGTGAGGTATATGCAAACTAATCTGACCTCACCTGTGATGACCTGACAACTGTTGAATGGCAGATCCAAAACAGCAGTGTTGGAGCTTATCTAACACCGTAGATAAGGGATTTTTCTCTCCATGTACAAGAAATGTAAAGAGTAGTCTACAGTGCACTGACTTGTACCACTCCGACAAAATAACTAACTGATTCAACTTAAAAAAAAAAAAAAAAAAGAGAGAAAAAGATGCATGCAACTATTTGCATGCATCTTTTTAAGTAGTTTATAACTCTGGCATTATTGAGTAAATCCCATGAGTCTTTTATAATATGACAAACTCAATTAGTTCAGTAAAACCAACATGATTTGCTTTGACCCTAAAAAACGTAATTAAGTTGAAACAACTTAATATTTATCCGATATCTTATTTATTTTAATTCCATCCTACTCAAAAATGTCAGTGTTTTTACACATATTGATAAAACAAAGATATTTTCATATTCATTAATGATTTTTTTAGTGTTTTATTTTTCTTTCTTTTTTTACCAGTTCTTTTTGAGTTAGGTCAGGGGAGGCACAGGTGTATGTATTTGTTGTTAATTGTTTCAGTAAGTGTTGGCAGTGGTGTAAAGGAAATGGGTAAATTTGCTCAAGTTTGGAATTTGAAGTACTTCTGCTTCCATTCTATGTAACTCCATACTTCTTTTGCCACTATCCTACATGTCATCGGAAAATATTGTGCAGTTTAACTCCTCTACATTTATCTGACAGCTCACTTGCGAGTTTGGAAATGAAGATTTTACATACAAAATATATGCATTTCCAGGCTATAAAATATGATACATTATGGATTAATTGTTATAATAATATCTCCTCATGGTACGCTAGCTGTCCATTCTGTGTGCGCACTGAAAAAAACTGTGTTCTTACACAGCCCTGGCTTTGTAAATGGTAAACAAATAAAGTGGCTCAGACAGAGACACACAACACTATGCGGGCTACCATCCTTCTTTCACGCCCTCATCCACTAAGAATGGAGCTACACTATGATAATACTGAAAAGTAAATAAGATGGTGATATTATCTTGCCAACTTGGTATAAAATATTTTACTTGCAACAAAAAAAAAATCATCAAATATAAACAATGTTTCTCCAAAATCGCTGACTCCATCTTTAATTCTGACCAGCTAGCTGCGTACACAATAGTGCATATGTAGTAATAATAGTCCAATCATATACTATCACACTGACATGGGTCTTTCTGCTGCCTCTGTGTGTACGTTTACTTTTGATACTGTCAGCACATTTTGCTGCAAATACTTAATCATTCTTCATTTCAGTAGCCACTGGTCTGCTGAACTCAGTCAAATGATCTCTGTACTAGAGATTCACTCATCTTAAGTTATCATCAGAGGTGGGACCAAGTCATTGTCTTGCAAGTCACTAGTAAGTCTCAAGTATTTGCACTCAAGTCCCAAGTCCTAAACTTTGAGTTTTGAGTTGAGTTTAAAAATTTGTATTTATTTATCAAAACAAGTTCATAAAAACAAGGCAATACAATCCCAATGCACAAAGGATAATCAACACATTATTTATCACACTCACAATATTCTACTCATTATTTCAGTTGCTGCACAAACAGCATAGATCTTCTTACACTAGGTTGTGCTGAATGTCATGTTATTCCATTGAGCATAGCCTTTAGGATCTGTGCTGTTACGCACACATGCAACATAGTCTCTGATTCGTCAGCATGCCACAATGGTGATGAAGCAGAGGCAGATAAAGTACGTTTTTGGATGGCAGCCTTGTGGAGATATTCTAAAAGTAATTAATAGAGCACTCTGATGTGTTGACGTCACCGACCTGGATATACTTTACGTTACGTTTAGGGGAAGGCAACAAGTATTTTCACTTCGGAAGGCTTAAGTCTAAATGAAGTCCTGAGTCATTGGTGTCAATGTTTAAGTCGAGTTGCAAGTCTCAAAATTTTATTGAGTCTAGAGTCACAAAATTTTTCACTCGAGTCTGACTTGAGTCCAAGTCATGTGACTGGAGTCCACTCACCTGGTTTATAATTGTTACTTCTGCACTTAACTTTACTTTAGAACTGAAGATAAATTATTTTTTATTGAGATCTTGTGTTATATTTTAGTCTGGCAACCTGTCCAGGATGTACCCTGCTACTTGCCCAATGTCAGCTGGGATAGGCTCCAGCCCCCCTGCGACCCTCAAGAGGATAAGCGGTTATGGAAAATGAATGAATAAATGAATGAATGAATGTTTTGTTATTATGCTATGTGGTTGTAGACTACTTGGCTCATGATGGCTGCAAATTTCCCTATTGTGGGTCAAAAAGTTGAACTGAATGGTAATGAAACTAGCCTAATAGTGTCCTCCTCAGCTGAGCTGTGACATTAGCTAGCTCAGTGGTGCTAGCAAAGATGGTAGTAATCTAGTATCTTTGGTGCTAGGTGAGCTAGCAGTAGATACACACTTTTTTTTGCTGATTTTAGCCCCACAAGCCACGTACCATCTAGTTCCATTATATTGGAGAGAAGGCAGATATATTTATGGCCAATATCTTCGATGTTGGTTAACTCACACCGAAAAAAAATCTAGACTGATTAATAGCACTACAGGTAAAAGGAAAAACATGTATTTTTGATTTGGGGGTGAACTGTCCCTTTAAGAGGTGATCTTCACTATTGGCATAATCTCTTAACTTCCTAAACCTTAGCATGTCTGGCTCTGTCTTCTCAAATGGCTTATTGTTCAGGGTGATAATGAATGGAGACGACCTTTAAATTAGAGTGGCATTTAGAGTAGTTGTATTTTCTTTGCATTTATTTAATGGATACTGAATGACTGCAATAATGGCTTCCACAGTGTTTGATGGTCTACAATGTGAGGTCCTTTAATGTTTTTCCAGTTGGGCCTTTGATTGTGTATCCTTCCCTCTAGATAACAATCTTATCCAAAGCCTTCAAACAAACAAACAACACAGCAGCTGCACAGATAAGTATCTTTTTATTGAGGCATCAAGCTCGTAGCACAGATATATTTAGCACATCTTGACCATCCAAAGAACAGCAAAAGAAAGAATTAGAACAGCAAAGTTTCTCCTTCAGTACACCCTGCAAACACACCCTCTGACCCAGGGGAGACTTTCCTTTCCTCTGGAGAAAAGACTCACAGAGGAAGGGAAAGTGAAAAATAAAACAAAAACATAATTTAAACCATCTTTGAAAAGGTAATCCCATAAACTTCAGAACAAACTGGTTTCACAACAAAATAAACATTTGGACAAAAGGGGAAGAGAAAAAAAAAGGAAGATTGGTCCGCAGCAAAAATACAAAATGTTATTTTGTATAAAATCCTATCACCATTCAACTGCAAAAATGCATTATGAGTTCACTGTATAAAAAAATAAAATAGCATAATGATCCACACCAATAAGGCTAAAATGTACTTAATCCAAGAACAGTTAGTGTTAAACTGCGACAGTATTTTTTGAGCAGCTTAAATCCCTAAATTGTGTGAATGCATTAAGGACCTGTAACAGTCATGGCAGATCACCTCGGACATTTGACAGCGAGTTGGAGCAGTTTATGTAAGAGCAGAGTTTGGTCCTCAGGAAAGAAAATGAAACCACTCCAAAAGCCACGATGGACAAACTAGAGGGAAACTATTCCAAGTGTCAACTTCATTGCTAGTTCCTATATTAACTCTTCCAACTTTATTTACTGGTCTAAATGGCTCACAGAGAGCCTCAGGTGATGAGTGCGCCGTTAGAGGTGTCAATGCAATCACCGCACATATTTCAAAAGAACAAATTGAATTACACAAAAGGGCTGAAAGCAGGTTGGACTCCCGCTGTGTCTTCTCCAGTTCAAAACTGAAACTGCATTCTCTGGCAGGAGAAGCTTGTGAACGCCACTGAACTGAACGGCAGGCGGAGAAGACCCACATTAGTCTCAAAGCAATAAATAAAGAAACCCAACCTGCTTTCAGCACTTTCCCACAACTCGAAATGAGATTAATACAAATTAACCTGACCCCTAAAAAAGAAAAAAAAAGTCCCCACCTATCCAAAACACACCAGGAAACAATTTCAGCTGGTTAAACAAGAGGAAAGTGAAGCACACAGACTCGCTAACGAAAAAGGAGGAAGAGACGGCGCTACACTACACTGTCAAGCAACACGGCACTAGTAGTCACATGCACCATAGTGTCACAGGATTTTGCCCTCGATGAACAAAGGGCATTGATCCAAACAAAAAAAAAAAAAAAAGGGAGGGGGAAAAACTGCTAGGGGAGTCACATTTTCGACCAATTCACTGCAAAAAATGTCTGGGCACAATAAATTTAATAAAATGGCAGTTTTATGCAGCGGTTACATGTGGAATGATCCGGGATCACCCTGGCATGCTCAGACTGGTGGGCCTCTATTGTGCGCTTACAGATTTCTGTATGGGGGCGGAAAGAGACAGAGAGAGGATGGATATTATGCGGGAAAAAGAAAAATGCTTTGCTGGGCAACTAAGCAAAAGTGTCTGATTCATTATTTCCCATTCAGAGCGCGCGGCAGCCAGGAGGGCCGCCTCTCGTCATGTCACGGTTCTGGGGCCAGCTGACAGTCTGACTCTGGCAGGGGGAGACCCGCTGCGAGCCGGACAATGGCTGGTCGGCAGAGGGCATTGTGAGCTCTCTGCGTGTGTGTGTGTGTGTGTGTGTGTGAGGGAAGAGGAGGGTGGGGGCGTTGTGTGCTCCGCTGGAGTCGTACATTCAGCTCAAACCCGGTCCAGGCTTTTCTCTAGAGATGCATACATTCGAAAGACGGGAGGCTGCTTTACGCGGCCTGTGCTACATTCAGTTTGAACCACTTTGGGTGAACGTGGAAACTGCAGTGCTCAGTATAACTGGGGGGATTTTAATACCCAGAGGCTTCCTATAGATACAGCATGCTGTAAAAAAAAAAAAAAAAAAAAAATAGAAGCTTGGGGGAAACAAAGTGCGCATGTTCAATGTCTTCAATGATTCATACACATATATTTTCCAGGCATACAACTTTAAAAGCCTGTCTATTTGGGGACTGTATGATTGTCGAGGTGGAGGAGGACCGATGAATGAATGCTGGTGGGAGTCGGAAGCCCAGCAAAGCAGACGCCTTTTGCTCAAGTGCATTAACCTTGACCAATGAGCTGCAAACCTTTTGTCCGATAGCACGACATTAAACAGCAAGTATGGCGTTTGTTTTCAAAGGCAACACGTCATGACATCGCGACAACAATTAGAATGGCCAAAACGACTTCTACATTCAATTTGACTTTAGACAAAAGGTTGGCCTTTTCGTACCATGACTTCACAGGTTTTTAAAGTGCACTCAAAAATTGGTAGCGATTCATAAATACCAATCATCAAAATAGAGAGCAAATTCAGTATGGACTGGTTTGGTTGAAGTTTAAATTAAAAACGGACGAGCTGAAGGATGATCATTAAGAGGCGGACTGATCTGAGCATGTCAGGGCCCTGGCCTAGTGCGGGCGGAAGCCTTGTCTGTGAGGGATGAGGGGCGAGACCTGCAGGAAGGGACCGTTGTACTGGGCACAGGTGGACAGCCTCAAACAGAGCTTGTTTAATTCCTCTACATGCACTTCAAGATCACAGCAAGAGTGAGCTAGGATATCGAAACAGAGAAAAGAGCTTTCATGCAAGAGATCTAAGTCACAGGTACAACAATGCAAACAACTCAAACTGGAGGTTAAGGAAGGGTTCGCAACCGCGCCAGCACCGGGGGATTCTGGACAACGACAGCAGTGAAAGGGGAGGATGAGGGGAGGGAAGACGGAGGAGGTGGAGGATGAGCTTTCTACTGCGGGTTGAAGCCAGCTGCAGGGAGGGAGCCCCGAGTGGCTGCCTTTTTTACGCCTCTTCTTCATCCTCAACCCTCAACTCTGCTGGTTCTGCTGGCGGTTCTTGGCGTAGCTTGTGAAGACAAAATTGTAATCGTTGAATTGAGCCAACTGGCGGTCAAGACGCTTGTAGCCCTCCAGTTTCTGGGGAGGAGAAAAGACACTGCGACATTTGGAGCTCTGTGAGGGGCAAACAAAGGGAGGAAAAAAAAAAAAAAAAAAGAATTTACTCAGTGACAACTTCAATTAAAATCCTTCTGAATGAAAGCAAGTTTGGATTTTAAAAACACACCTGATTGACGAAAAGCGTAGTCACAAATTTTCCTGGCTTGAACACCTCCACCACCTTACTGACCAGATCATCGTACGATGTCTGGGAGAGGTTGGTTTCGAAGCTGACGTAGGAGAACTCTGGCTCCGGGGTGATGTGGATGGTCCAGTAAGTTCCCTGGAGAAGATGACAAGCGGAGCCACGTTACAGAAATGTTTAGAGGAAGATTTCAGCCAGAAAAATGACCATTTGTATATCAGTTACTCGTTGTGGGTCACATTGCATTTACGAACAAAACTTTCTCCCGTGTGCCTCCACAGTGAACAGTAGGTAAATTCTCATTTCAATGTAGAGCTGCATGCAGCCCCTCTCGCTGTGTTTGCACTACTGCTGCAGGAGTGTGAGCTAAGGGCTAACTGTTAGCATCACATCTAACCCAACAGTTATTGATGGGTTTAATGACAGAGTGGAGCTGTATCAGTGTCAGTGTGAGATTGATGGGACTGTTAAATAACTCAGTAAGAGAGCAGCTGACAGAGAAGGTCCCTCAGCGCTGCAAACGGCAACAACAGCTCATTGGTGGCGATCAGCTGTTGCCCCACCACCATCAAAAATAGACTCTGATTCAGAACCTACAGTGTTTCCCACAGAACATCGCAACTATTTTTGCTATTTTCACTTTTGCTCCCTCAATTTCACTGCAGAACACAAACATCAATGTGCATTGCATTTTTTTTTAAAGAAAAGCTGCCATAAAAATCAGGCATTTTAGGCTGAAGAATGGATGGATGTTTGATCCAGTTTTGCTGCTGTTAAATGTGAACCCCGATTACCTCAATGCACGACGAATGCTCAAAGTTTTCTTCACAAATTCAACGAGACAACACAGTGAGTAATTGGTATACAAATTATCATTTTGAAAGTATTCCTTTAAGTGGCTGGCACAACAAAGGCCCCAGATGAAAAAAAAGACACTCACATCAGTCTTCATTCCATTCATTGAGTATCCACAAGGGTTGAACATTGTGGCATCGATCACAGAACCTGGTATCAGGTCACTAATTCCACTCATCTGCAACGAGACACACAGGAAACAGTCAACAGCAAATCGACATACACAATGCTTTAACCTTCCATGGCTGCACATGTCTAACTGCGGGCTCAACCAAACACTGCACAAATCTAAACATGTTCCTATAACAACACTGGAGGGCTTGTGTATGTGCAGAGGCCTGCTGAGACAAATAAAGAAACCTCAACTTACACGAGTGACTTCACTTGCAGAAACACCATCTTTCATGTAGAACTGGTCCATAATGGCTGGATCGAGGTCGCTCATCAAAACTTCCAGCGTCTGATCCGCATGCTTGTTCTCCCAGTACTCTGGTAAGTCCAGGGTAAACAGGTACCTGTGGGTGACAGGCAGTCAAACATTTTGTTAAGGCTCTAATTAAAATCAGGAGAAAGCATTATTAAGTTTAACATCAGAAGAGGTTCACACAAGCAGAAATAACCACAGAGCAGATCTGCTCTTTTTATCTCCACCTCATGATTGTACTAGATAGTCATTGTCTGTGCTAAAATGCAAATAGCAATATCCTGCTGTGGCTGAAATCCTGCTACAACACAGAAGGCAAACAGCTGCAGACTTTGGCTATCTTTTCATTTTCTATTATTATTATTTATTTGGTGTGTTTTATGCAGAGAGAAATGAGAACATATTTCAAGGATAACATCAGTGGGCATAATTCATAATAATTTCTACTACAAAAAGATCCATGGATGTCAACAACATTGTCAAGAATGGGAAAGTGGTATGCTTACCAGCAGTCGGAGTTCAAACGTCCCATACAGTAGGCTGCACCATCTGGAAGAAGCAAAAAGGAAGAGCTTTGTTTTTAGCTGCCCTTATGGTTACCATTCACATGACACAATCCCAACTATGGGATTGCATGCATCTTTTTTTTTTTTTTTTTTAAATTTTAGAGCCTGAGGAAACTTCTTCTGCCCTCCTCGACACACAACAACAGATATGCTAGAGGCACTGTGCCATTTTGGTTTCTCTAAAACGTATTATTTTCAGAGCATTTTTTCAGGCGGGAAAAACAGGGTAGACAACAAAGATGGGTAGTGCTAAGATTCTGTGTTACGTACTTGGGAAAATCTGGCTGAGAAAGTCTACTTCCTCCTGGAAGTTTCGATGAGGGAACTCTTGATGGGTTGGCTTCATAAAGTTCTTGCGGGAGTAAAAGAAATTCTACAAAAAAGAAGCATATAAAAGTGTGAGAGATGAAGAGGCACAGGCATCAGATAAATGCTACAAAAATTTTCACTTTAAGTTTCTGAATGTCAGTTTTTACATGAACTCAAACGCTGCAAGTGTGTCCTACCTCGATGGCATCAAAACCACAGTACTCCCTGGCGAGTTCCAGCAGAGGCACCAGTGCTTGCAGTAAGAGGGTGGTTCCGCATGTCTTCAAAATGAAACGTCTCTTGGAGACAAACATGCTACTCTCACTGAGGGGAAAAAAGAAGTACAAGAGAGGTGTAAAACATCTGTTCCAGCTGTTTAATTTGATATACAAGTGATCAGGATTGGAAATCAACTTTTTAGATTGCCTTTTTACATTTTTTAGCTGGTGAGTGAAACAAATCTAGCAGTATTAGGATGACGATTTGTACCAATTTCCAACCCTGCAAGTAATTATTAAACAGTAAGTTCAGTATTTTTCACCCTGGACCTATTTTCCCCATGCTTTAGTGTCTGACTAATGGGAACAAAATTTTTTTGAAAATGGTCCAGTATTAAGTGAGAGCACTGCAGCTGGCAGGGGCGAAACAGGCTGCAATACTACCATTCAGGGCCTGTTTGCACTGTCAGTGTAGGGCCACTATAAGTGCTTGTTTTTGCCATTGACAGGCTCAGGTTGTTATTATGGGTTTCAGATAACAACATGGAAAGGATCCCTACAGAGATAAACCTTTTTGTTAAAGAGTAATATCCTTTTTGTTTAACCTGAAACAGCCCCGAAATCACAATCGCCAAACCCACCAGACTCCATTTAAAAAAACATTAATTTTAGCATTTATAGAGACAGCATATTTCTGCATCCAAGTGGGTGAATTAAGGGTTTATTCTAACCAAACCAGACTTGGTAATTGTTGAAACAGTGAAAAGACTAACCGAGTAGGTTTTTGAGAGTCTGAGTTTGTTTCCATCAACTTCCAATAAAGTGCCTTTTAAGATAATAAAATTACTCTTTATTTGAATGGAGTCTGGTGGGTTTGGTGATGGTGACTTCAGGGCTGATTCTGGTTAAAAAAAAAAAACAAGGATCTTATGTAGAGGTAGAGGTCAATCTCTACAAAGATCCCTTCTATATTGTTGTCAGATACTTGTAATAATAATCTGAGCCCATCGGTGGCAAAAACAAGCACTTTAATGGTTGTACATTTACGATGCGAGCATGCTCCAAGTGTTTACATTGCAGTTTGTTTCGCTGTTGTCGTCCTCTTGTTCAATACTGGACCGATTTCAAAAATAGTTACTTAACACAAAAATAAAATAGGGTCCAAGTTGGAAAATATCGAACTCATCCTTTAACTGGTGATTCTCCTTCCACTCATACTGCGCTCATCACCACTAAGCTTACGTAACAGTCCTAATTCAAAACAGGGACACACTGCCAGCATTTGTTTTGTTGTTGGACTGTTTTTTTCCTTTCCTGTGCAGCTAAATTTGTCATGGATGGTGCCAAGATTTTCAAGATTAGGAGGTAAATCCCCACTTACAAACATTAAGCATTTATGCACATGTAAAAACACATGAATTTTCAGGACATGGATAGATCACTTGTAAACAAAGATCTTAGTAAAGTTTGTTTCAACTTGTCTCAGAGACTTGAAACACGTGGCAGCCATAATTACAAGCACAGTTCCCTTGAGCAATTTTAAAAGCGTTGTTGCATAACATGGCTGCATGTGGGAAACCCCACCCATCTGATTCCAACGCTGCTTTAAATTAATGGTTTCTTAACACAACTTCAACTTCACTGCTTGTGTAATTCGTAGTATACTGATTGCAGTCTGTTTAAACTGGAGGAGAGGAACAAGATCTCATCACACGATTGCAGCAGTTTTGAGCGCGATAACAAAGAGTTAAACACTTCCTGGTTGCCATGACAATTTGTTTAACCTGCCATACTTGTTTGATTCTTAAACATTACTACAGCAGAAGGCCCATCAGCTTTAGTGTGTTAAAGCAGGGTGTCCTTGTAGCATATACAGTGAAGGCTGTGCAGCACGTAATACATGTGCCCATGACTGCATGTCATCACCTGAACAAGAGACTGTGCTGTCAATGGCAAGCGGCTTACAGGTGACCGCTGTGTAATCCTGCCTGCCTTCTAATCAGTGGTAAAGCAGAGAAGACGTACTGTAAATAAAGACCCAGCACTCACCTGAGTATATAAGCTTCCTGCTTGTCAGACTTTGTCACACTCACGATCAAACAATGCACATTCTCCAAAAGTTTGTCCCACTCAAACCTAGAAAAAAAAGGAATGAAAAGCAACAATTAGCACTCTGACATTCATTAAAAATATTTCATTGACTTGTTTTTAATTTGGCAGTGAAGAAAATTTTGAATTTTCCCACACACGGGAAAAAGAAGCAGAGTTGTTTTGACTGTTTTTATGAAGGAAGGCATACAGTGTACAACAATGCCCTGCAGGGTAAGTCACAACAGGGAGGGAGGGATTCAGTTTCTGGAAATTATAGTGCTAGGACGAATATGAAGAAACAAACAATCTCAAAGAGATTTGGACTAGACCCCTCTGTAGTTTATCTACTGAAATACAGCAAATTTATTCATTTGACCCGATTCATTCACTGTCCATAAGGAGGGTGGGGGGGATTATTACAATTACAGCCTGCCGTGTGAAATCACCAAAGAAAAAATGGTTCACACTAACAGGAATAAGGACACTGGCTATGTGCAGGAAAGCTGCAGGGTACTGTGGAATTGGGTTGCTCGGATGTTGGCTCTAGTTCAGACTGAAATCACAGGCTGGGGCAGGCGACACTGCCAGGCCAGCACTCTCCACGACAACAGGAACCGCCTCCTACTCCCACCACCACTCAAAGACAGCTGCAGTGCAAATGCAGCTGCGTCACGTTCTCATTACAACCTTGGAAGGGCGGCCTGGACCCATTCAGAGCCTTCAGTAGGAAGCAAAGCACAGCATGGGCTGGTGGACAGAGGCCGGCAACGCTCAATGGAGAATTTACCAGCAGCCAATGTTGCATAGTTCACCCCCTGAGAGATGGACAGGGCTGCATGAATCTTTTCTGGGGAAACCTCTGAACTAGAAATGTGCCTCAGTAGTGACTAACTAGACAGTCAGCACCAGGCCTCTGACAGGCGGTGACAGCTCTGGTCAGGAAGCAAGTGTGAAGAGTATTTAGTCATGTACCCGCTGAGTACTAGTAAAATTACAGAGCTTCTCATCCAGCTGTTTAATGCATTTTAAACTTGCCTTTAAAAAAACAGAATGACAGAACTGAGGAGTTTAGTTTTCAACCGTTGCTATGGAGATAATCAAATATCACAGTTTTCTATGCCAAATACCTCACTGTTGATATTGTAGTGTTGACTATTGGTGCTTTCACAAAGTATTTAGACAGTTAGGTTTTTGATTAATAATCATCAGTTATGGTAAAATAATGACTACGTAAAAGGCAAAAATAGAAGAGCCAGAAGAGTCTGCAAGTTAAGGAAAGTACATTATTTTACTGCTGTGATACTGTGCCCCCATTTCTGAATTCACAATAAAAATCAGTTTACTCACACTTGGAATTTATTATCTGTACTTTAAAATGAATAAAACCTGACACAGGTCCAGGCTAAGTCCCAGTGTTCTCAGTTCCTAGAAACTGGCCCCTAGATGTCATTTTGCAAAGGTGGCACCCAGGAAGCAAGTTAAGTATCCCTGCTTTAATATGATACAACCTTTACAACCAGGAAAACACAACACTTAAAATAATATGACATCAAAATCTAAGACACCATTTCGTCTCATTTCACAATATCAACATAACATCAATATATTGCCGAGCCCTACTTAGCAAATACATTAAGCCTTACTCTTACAAGCCTCTACTTGACCAGAAATACCAAAATATTAGCAGAAAATAATAAAAATACAACAATTCTGGGGGCTTCAAGTGACCAGGTAATTTTTTTGACCTGGACAGTACACTATAACCACAAGTCCCCTCTGCAAGTCTGGTTTGTGACCCATGTTGCATGGCAGCCCTGCTTTATCCACATAGCAACCCAAAACAATTACTGCATGGGAATAACACATATAAGCACCAGTGAAATGAAATGTTACTGCTGTTTGATAAATTAGACTAAAAAAATCTTGCCACATCACTTTGAGCATATCGGCATAACAATCTGACAGACATGCAAATGCATTTACCCAGCAGCCTCTTGCTTAAAGGGGCTCTATGCAAAATTCAGAGTTGTCTGCACACAGTTCTCAACATGGAGGTGGCTCACTCTCTACTCAGGGCATCATTACTGCACTATCTTCACACAGCAAACAGTAGTTTGATGCTATTTTAATGCTCTGATTGTTGCATACAGAACCTTTAAAACTTGTCTAGCATTTGGATGAAACCACAACTATAACATCTGACATCTCCTGAGCTGCTGAGTGACACGTAAACACCTCATGATAAGCAGCACACACACCAAGCTTTGGGAAGAGTTCATACAGATGACTGAGAGACAAACAATGTGTCAGTGCTACAAAATGTCTCATACCAGGAATAAACCACACACTGTACAACACCAGCAGCTACACTGCCTGCATGTTATGAGCCTCCAAATCTAATTTGCTCCCCACAAAGAATGACATGATGCAATAATCAGGTCATGCAGCAGGCTAAACTCCAACAAGCTAACTTCACAGCCCTAAACCATCTTCCTTCTCTACCACTGACAGATCAGTGTGCCTACTGCTCAACACTTTGCCCAATTCATCACAGCCCATACACTGTGCAATTAGGATATGTCATGTTTTTATTATTGTGCAGATATCTTAGCACACTGCCATTAAAACTACAGTACAGGATAAGAACCAGAGGGGTTATCTGATAGTAAATTGTGACTTGGCACTTGTGACAACAGTAAACCATATAGCCTCTTTGCTTTTTCAACTGACAATTAGCTTATGTAGAATTAAGCCCAATACTGTGCCAGGCTGAGAAGAATTACAGACCTCTCGAGTGTTTGACCTCTATGGGTCAAACTATGATTATGTGGAACAAATTTGCCAGGGAAAATGTACCACACTTAAACCTAGTACAGAGAATTCGTATAATTTGTCTTGCCCTTATCGTGTGTTTATTATGATTTTTAAATCAACTTAACAGGCCGCCGTTTTAGCCGGTAAAACAAAGGACAAACCCCATTGGTAGGACAGTTAGACAATTTGATGATTCAGTTCGTTTTGACGTGATGACATCAGAGCTGTTGCAACATGTCGGCCTCCCAGCCTCATACCAAGGGGACAACGTTACTGAAGACCTGGGTCAGCTCCCGTTTCAGTGTGAAATGTACACCATGGGCTATTTCTGGTCGCTCAGCAGGATCAGATTTTCCTCAAAGAAAGAGCGGTCTCTAGGAAATGGAACGCATTAAGATACTACCACAGTTTCCATCCATACCTGACGGACATGTCTTACCACTGTGACAGATTCTTGTAATACTGGCTACTTTGGTCGATAAACAAAAACAAAATAATCCAAAGATTGGACAGCAAAAGAGAGGGCTGGTAACATAAAATAAATATCATTAGATAAATTCAAGATGCCTTGACGAACACTTGGCTGCAGAGCCATGAGGATGGTGAAGGCCACATTCTGAAGTGAGCAGAAGTGATAACTTTATCTGGCCTTCAGGAGTAGCTGCTTGACAATCACTAGAAGCAGACTGTAATCTGTCGTAGAGCCCTGAGGAAGGACAGGGGCAGTAATGTGAGCGAGCTCCACATTTGTGAATCAGATGCCCTTGTGGACTTATTTGGACATTGGCTGACGTCCAGCGAGCCTGATCCACTGACAGTGTCCCTCTGAGCCGTTAATCTGCCCTCTGGCTGTAAATTAATGCCAGTCCTCATTCACCCAACCGGCCACACACACTTTTCTTAAACCGACCTCTGTGGTCTGGTTAACGACCACAAAAGTCACTCATATTGCCAGCAGATTGAGCCTTGAACCTTGCCACGGGCCATTCACTTAGTACTGCGATAACACGTACTGTCAAGCAGCTTCAAATAAGGATAAACCCTAAAAAAAAAAAAACTTATCTGCTGAACTAAACAGATAATATAGGTGAAAGAGGATGTAGGGTGATGATTTCTAATCACCTGTTGTCATCGGAAATTATTCAGTGAGCACTACTGACACACATCCAGTTGCTCACACTGAAGAATGAACACCAGTCCTGGCCAAACCACCTAACTCCTTTTAGTATATCCTGACTTTGCTCTACTTGGCACAAGCTCCTCAGTGAAGCACAATGGATTTTATAGTGCTCAACAAAAGGTCAACAGCCTTTTCCAACCATTCACATCCATTTCTTGGAATGTCCCATCGCCCAGACACCCTTTTCTTTGAATGCAACCAAGTGCCTCCAAGCAAATCACACTCGAAAGACCCTCTAACCAATCACAGGAGCTGGGAGGAGAGTGGCTACATGGCTGGGAACGTGACCATAACCTGGACTACACGTTATTTTCAGTGGCACATACAGCGTGTCTTGGGGCTGCCAAGAAGTGAATGACTGTCTGCAGAGAGGGCTGAACATTAAAATCATCACATTCCCATCAGTCATGGGATCATAACCCATAATAGTCCCTGGTGACTCAGAGTGTATAATCATAGTGCTGGAATTTGTGATAGGAAGCATTTGAGATCTAGTCTTCCCGGCAACTACCTTTCGTTTTATTGCAAAACAAATGCCACCTGGTAGACCATAAAGTAGCGTGAGTGACTTTTATGGACGTCCTGTCGGTTGCCAGTGTCGCTGCAACACGCGGTAACGACGGGCGACCACATGCTTGACATCTTCAGTGAGGCCCCCATCCTTGTTGAATGACGCAGAAAGAAATAACCTCCCCATTTGCAGCAAAACAAACACACAACACATTTTTGTCAAACCCCGTTGAACTATGTAAAACAAGTAGCGTAGTATGTGTTAGCATTTTGAAGTAATGTAATCAAACGACGTCCCAACATCAATGCGGGGGAAATAAAACGCGTGCGCACCATAGGGGAGGAAAAAAAAAGATTCAGCCCGCCTAATGTCGGCCCCAAAGTGAACAGACAAATAACGAAAATAAGTTGAAGACTCGTTTGAATTATACAGCCATACTAGCACGAAAACAGAAGGCGGTTGAATATTTGTGTAACGTTATTATGTCCCATGAACTAGCTAATTAGCAAGCTGTTAGCTACAAACGGGCTGACAACTTGCTGTATAGACGGCCTTAAAATAATAACACATTCATCAACCGCTTATCATATCGACTGAGCTATAATGCTAAAATGTTAATTGCCATGTATTTTCTCGCTGGAGAATGAATGACTCAGCTTGGAAGTGCCACTGTTGGAAAGGGGGAGGTGATCATTTTCGAGTCACGGTGTTAGCTAGCTCCCTGGTGGTAGGCTCTTGTGTCAGAATTTGCTTCCCAACCTAGCTTGCTAACTGAGTTTGAACTGTTTATAACAGCGAGGAAATTAGCTCTGGAAAACTAGATTTCACCGCATATAAACTGGTTACATGTCAGGAATGAATAGCGGGAACGAAGCCAAGCATATGGCCGGCGTTTGAGGCGACGTTTCCACACGCTGCCGAGGACTGACACGCCACCCGAGACATTTAAGAGGACACAAACCTTGGGATGGTACGGAGGTCCCCGGTTCCTTTGGTCTCATCCTGTCGAGAGAACCACACCTCCAACAGCTTCTCGGTCCCCTCGAAGAAATGTGCACCGTTATCTTCCATCATGAGACAACAGACTCCCAACAAAAAAAATATTAAATTTCGGTTGTAACGTTTACAACTTAATTAATCCTTCTTCGAGCAGTTATAATTTATTGAGGTACAGTCCTTTAAGCAATCCTGGTGTTGATTTTCTTGAGTTACCGTCTTCCCTTTAGCAGAGAATACCATTAGCGAGTGCTAGCTAATATCGCCGGCCATACTGTGTAGAGCACTGTATGGAGATGGCGCGGTGACTTTATGTGCAAGCAGCCCTTACGTCAGTTTTGCGTTGAGCCAATCAGATCAAAGCCCTCTGGCTTCTGTTGTGTGATTGGTTCAGGGCCCTATCACTCTTTGTAAAAACAGGGGTTTCCTCACGTGACGTTATATTTTTTTTTACAGCCTGCACAGAGCATGCCTTGGCTCTGTACTAACATGAGAACACAGCAGCCTAAATTACATTTAGGACTTATATTATATATATATATATATTTGACCGTAGGTGGTGTTCATTTAAATTCCTATTTGAAAACGTGGGAGTATTTTACCTATTAATTGCACAAATATATTTTAGAGCTTCAATATGCTTAGGCAGACTTCTATGTATACTAAGTGCTTCTCTGACATATATTTGCTTGTAAACATATGGATTACATGCCAGGATATTTATTCCTGTCACGTCTGTATCGTTGCATGACCGTGTATTAATTTATTTATTTTTACTCCGTGTTGACATAAACACGCAAATTTGACTCCGAATTAAACTTACAAAATAAATAATATTACCACACGTGAAATGGAAATATCTATATGTAAACTAAACATGTTATTCCGATTGCAGTTGAGAAAATTTATAATGTGAATTTGTGATATTTTTAGCATTAGATTGTACTAGCTATTGTAACTGCATACCTCTAAAAGTCACTCCATATAGCAAGCTTTTTTTTTAAAGGACATGGCAAATATTTGTGTTAGATCCTGCTTTGGCAATTACCATTCGTTGTAATAAAAGTAATTAAATGAAGGAGTCAAGGGCGTAGTAGCAATTTTCGTGTGTTAATTTCAACCTTATTTGACAATAAAACAAAACAGTATTTTCAGAGGAGCTTTTATTTATATTTTTCCAAACGTATTTGTTGTATTACCTTTATAATAATGTGTACATATGCTATGAAATGAATGTCATTAACAGTTCAGTGGTCATGCAAATATTTTTAGATATCTATAAAAAACTATCAAACACATACTTCCGACCAACAGCCTTGTTTGTGCACTATGAAAATATACAAGCCACTGTTCATAGCGTTCATGAGTACGCAAAGTGCAACAAACCGCAGCGAGAAACGCGGGTTGTAGTTTCCCACATCTCCGCTCATGAGCCAGAGAGCCGCGGCGCCTGCTCCAAAGAACTACCTTACCCAGCGCGCCCCGCGCGCCAATTAGAAACGTCAACGAGCCAGTGAACATTAAGCGGAGCAGACCAAAATCCCAAACAAGGAAATGGTGGGGGAATAAAACGACCAGATTATTTAATTAATGCATGTAATAATTAATATTTTATTTTATTGTAAATTAAGACGTATTTATGGGTTAAAATGGATTACGACTTCAAAACAAAGCTGGCGGCCGAGAGAGAGAGAGTAGAAGATCTGTTCGAATATGAAGGTTGCAAAGTGGGTCGAGGCACCTACGGGCACGTTTATAAAGCTAAGCGCAAAGACGGGTAAGATAACCGTGAACGTTATTGTTTATGCTGACATGAAGCTGACTGTGGGCTGCATTTTCTCTAGACACCTTGGTCGTGTGTTAAACGGGGCGTTAGATTTGAACCTCCCCGAAGCGATAACCCGTGTCTCTGTGTTTTTGTTTTCATGTAACGCACTCACTCACTCACCAACGGTCCCCCCCCCCCGCCCCCCC